GCCTGTCTCCTGCCCTCGCGCCCTTGACCGACTTCCCTGCCCATCCGGCCCCGCTCCCTGCCCGCCCTCCTGCCCTGCCCTGGCTGCCTGACCACCATGCGCCCCGCCGGGTGGCTCTCTTCCGTGGGAGGCTGGCTGGCCGCCGGGCGGGCATCGCCGGCTGCCCGGGGCTCCGTCGCCTCCGGCCGCCGAGCCGTCGCCTCGTTGGCGGCCGGCGCCGGCCACACGCACCTGACTGCGCCTCAAGCCCCCACGGCCGGGGGCCGGGCCGAGGTCCTGCCCGCCGGGCCGGGGGCCGATCTCCGGCACATAGGGCGCCCGACGGACCGGGGGCTCTTTGCCAGGGAGCTGGCGGCCCTGCTGCCGGCCGACCTTCCCCAGCGAGAGATTGCGGCCCGTCTCGCGGCCCCCGGCGAGTGGCCGGCCGCCGCGGGGCCCGACCCCCGGGCCATCGGCCAGCCGGACACCCTGGCGCTGTTGGCCTGGGCCGATGCCCCGGCCCGGGCCAGTGCCCCGGACCAGTGGCGCACCGCTCGGCAGGAGGGCCTGGTGGATCTGCGCGGGGACCCGGCCCTGCTGGATGGCAGCCCGGTCCTCCGGTCCCCCGGGGCCCTGCAGGCCAGCCCCTCTTGGGACCGGCCGCTGTCGGCGGCCGGGCATGAGCGCCTCCTCCGGTGCGTGCCACTGGCCGCGGGCACATGCGCCCCCCTCGGCCTCGCGGGGGCCTGTGTTCTTTTTTTTCTTTTTTCTTTCTGCGACGGCGGGCCCCCCCCCCCGCCGCCGGCCGGCCCCTTTCCTCCGTTCTTGGCCCGGTGAATCCCCGCCAACCTCCCGCGCATGGGCCCACTCACGGACATACCCCCCCCCCCCCTCCATGCTCCCCTCGCTGGCTGCCTCGCCACATGCCCCGGCCCGGGCCCGGGCGGGACCCCGCAGCGCCCTCGAAGAGTGCTGCCTGCACGAGGTGCCCATGGCCTACATCGTGGGGGTGCAGTTCTTCTGGTACTGGCCCTTCGCCGTCAATCGGGCCACGCTCATCCCCCGGCCGGACAGCGAACTGGTATGTGTGGCCGGCCCCTTGGAGCCCGTCGACAATGCGGCTCACTCGCTCACCCCCCCCCCCCC